CGTATCTTGTAACTTATCAAATTACAAATTCAATGTCATAGCATATGCAGTGCGTATAAAAGAAACGTGACACTAGGATCAAATAAAATACATGCTTAAGAATTATAAAGTAGAACAATACCTTCTACAACTGTGTTGGAAGCATCCTTGTCCTGTTGGGTCAAAGCAAAGACCTGACCCTGATTGTTATTGCCTGCTGCTTCACCTCCTGGGTTCTTCTACTGTAGCTTCTGTGGTGGGGGCTTGTTCAGATTCAGTTGTCCTATAGTCTGAGTGTTGTACTGGTGTTGCTCACGGTTAGGCTGCCTCTGAGGAATAGATGGACGGTTGTTCCTGAAGTGCCTAATGCCCCCACACGATAGCATTGTCTAGGATCCTCAACATGTCCTCTCTTATGGTCCCTAGATCCACGAATTGGTTGATCCCTCTGTCCAGTAGCCTGATTCGGGTGGTGATATAGAGTCACCCTCTGCATTCCTCCATTGTTGTTGCCTGTCCAAAACGGGCCTCTTTTCGTGTCGAAGCCGAGTCTCTTCTGTATCCATCTCCTCCGATGCAGCTCCATTTAACAAATCTCCTTAATCTCAGATTTTAAGAGCTACAAACTTCTCTCGAATAGCAGGCCTCAGACCTTGCTCGAATTGTTTGGCCCTCTTTAGATGCTAACTTTGTGTAATAACGAGATAGCTTGTCAAATTTGCTCTCAAACTCAGCTACAGTCATGTTGCTTTGCCTTAGAGCTAAAAAGTCTGCACTTCTCTTATCCTTTACTAACTCTGGGATATACTTTTCTTGGAAAACTTGGTTAAACATCAACATTCCTCATTCTTTTCATTGAATCCCACTAATGATATGTTTCTCCTTCCAACAAATAAGTAGCCAAATCAACTCGAAGATCTGCAACAATCTTCATACTATCACACATTTTCTTAATTCTCTGAATCCATTTATCTGCATCCATTGAGTTGGAACTCCCTTGAAAAATAGGCGGGCATTGTGAAAGAAATTCCCTCAACACTGTTAGTCTTTGGTTTTCGTTGCCATTTGCCTGACCAACTGTCAATGGTTGCACAACCTTGTTGTGGTGGTGGTTCTCATTTTGGAATTGTACTAGAGTGGTTAACTCCTGTAGACATTGGTAGATGCCACTAATGGCATCCAGAGGTGAGGGTGGTGATTGGTTTCTAACTGACGGAGCTGGTCGTCCACGTCCTCGCACATCAAAACATAGTTACATTTTCTTTGTACAACTATAATTAACAACTCATGCTTAACTCGTAAACATATAACTCCCAAAAGATTCTACTTTATACCTAAATCTCTAGTGGGTAATCCTCAATTTATAACTCCCATGTAACATTTAATTCTTAAACTCTAATACCAAATCTATCATGCCCCAAATTCACATGAACTAACTATGAACTATCCAAGCCATGAGAGCATACTAAAGTAATCATTAAAATAATAAAACTATCCATCAATTTAATAAATAACTAAATCAATTCCAATAAAACATCAATAACTTCTTAAAATTACATCACAGAACTAGAATAATATCTTGCAACTAACTAATAAAGAAATATTCATAAACATTGTCTAATAACTTAACTTCAGNGCATGTCCTCTCTTATGGTCCCTAGATCCACGAATTGGTTGATCCCTCTGTCCAGTAGCCTGAATCGGGTGGTGATATAGAGTCACCCTCTGCATTCCTCCATTGCTGTTGCCTGTCCAAAACGGGCCTCCTTTCGTGTCGAAGCCGAGTCTCTTCTGTATCCATCTCCTCCGATGCAGCTCCATTTAACAAATCTCCTTAATCTCAGATTTTAAGAGCTACAAACTTCTCTCGAATAGCAGGCCTCAGACCTTGCTCGAATTGTTTGGCCCTCTTTAGATACTAACTTTGTGTAATAACGAGATAGCTTGTCAAATTTGTTCTCAAACTCAGCTACAGTCATGTTGCTTTGCCTTAGAGCTAAAAAGTCTGCACTTCTCTTATCCTTTACTGACTCTGGGATATACTTTTCTTGGAAAACTTGGTTAAACATCAACATTCCTCATTCTTTTCATTGAATCCCACTAATGATATGTTTCTCCTTCCAACAAATAAGTAGCCAAGTCAACTCGAAGATCTGCAACAATCTTCATACTATCACACATTTTCTTAATTCTCTGAATCCATTTATCTGCATCCATTGAGTTGGAACTCCCTTGAAAAATAGGCGGGCATTGTGAAAGAAATTCCCTCAACACTGTTAGTCTTTGGTTTTCGTTGCCATTTGCCTGACCAACTGTCAATGGTTGCACAACCTTGTTGTGGTGGTGGTTCTCATTTTGGAATTGTACTAGAGTGGTTAACTCCTGTAGACATTGGTAGATGCCACTAATGGCATCCAGAGGTGAGGGTGGTGATTGGTTTCTAACTGACGGAGCTGGTCGTCCACGTCCTCGCACATCAAAACATAGTTACATTTTCTTTGTACAACTATAATTAACAACTCATGCTTAACTCGTAAACATATAACTCCCAAAAGATTCTACTTTATACCTAAATCTCTAGTGGGTAATCCTCAATTTATAACTCCCATGTAACATTTAATTCTTAAACTCTAATACCAAATCTATCATGCCCCAAATTCACATGAACTAACTATGAACTATCCAAGCCATGAGAGCATACTAAAGTAATCATTAAAATAATAAAACTATCCATCAATTTAATAAATAACTAAATCAATTCCAATAAAACATCAATAACTTCTTAAAATTACATCACAGAACTAGAATAATATCTTGCAACTAACTAATAAAGAAATATTCATAAACATTGTCTAATAACTTAACTTCAGAAATTTAAACTAGAAAGACAGTATCTCGGCCTCGACCTTCAGATCCGCCGCTTGATCTATCGCCACATCAAAGTCAATCTACTCATCTAAGGTTATATCTTTCTCAAGCCCAAAATCTGAAAAATGTTTATATCATAGGGTGAGCAAACAAACCAAGTAGAAAAGCCTTTTCAAACCAAAACACGGTTTAGAAATCATAAAAAATAGGTAAGTCTTAGTTTGTAAAATATCATATAGGAATTTGAAGTAAAGTAGTGACATTTAATAACTAATGGGCTTTTGGTTCAATGGTACTTCTTGATATGTGAAGGCTTTGCCTTCTTGAAGACAAGAGTTTAAGTCCCCCTCCCCTCCTCTTCCTCCTCCCCCTCTCCCAAAAAAAATAAAAAAATAACGATTTCGAGTTTATGGTATAAAACAATAAAGTTCATAATAGAATGTAATCATTCGCAAAATCACATATCAAAACATAAGATCATGTAGGTAGATAGATTGGTATGAATCTCCACATCGAACCTATCTGATCCACCCACCACAAATACAAACACTAACACAAACAAAAACCATCCAATCAATTCCCACACATTGGGCTACAACTCTTTAGGAAGGGCCTTTGCTGGCAAATTAGCACTGACAAATCCTTCCCAACTAGCACTCAGCTTGAACTTACGTGAGTGGTTTGACCCTCGCAAGAAACCAACCTCCCCACGAGTGTTAAGAAACCATTAAATTCCTCAAGGTAGACAAATCTCTAATAATTTACGATACGAATTTGAGTGTAATCCATGTTTAGCACATCCACCCATACAATATATAATTTCATACTTTTCATAAAATTTGCATATCAAACAATTTGTAATCCAACAATTCTCAAATAGACGAGTAATCAAATTAAAACATGCAAAGGATCGTAAAAGAAACAGTCATGTTCACAATATTCAAGATTTAGGATTTTTAATCAGGAACATTCAATTTTGGATGTAAATCATGTGTTTATTCAAGAATTTAAACATATATTCAAAAGGAATGTAAAAATGTTGTAGATCTATCACATAGATAAGATTAGAAATCAAGGACTAGGTTTTTAAATCAAGAATGAATAAATATTGGAAGCAAATAATGTATTTTATTCAAGAAACGACTTATGTAATCAAAAGAACGTGAAAACATTGTAGATCTATTATTTATATCATCATGAGGATGAAAAATATGTAATTATATAGCCATAATCATCAATGAATAAGTTTGAGAAAGAACTCCTAGCTTAATTCCTAGTTTACTGAAATCTTAACACGTTTGCCTCTTTGCCTCTCCTTCAACCTTTCGTCGCTTTCGAGGGTTAAAAGCTGTTGAAAGTTGACCAAAGGAACTTCCTTAGGGTATTTATAGGGTTAAAAACTATTCAAGTGGCATGGCACTGTTTGCTGTAAAATGTGCGTGTATGTTTGAACGTGGATTGACGTTCAAACGGCTTGAACTACTGGGGGTAAACTATGTTTTAACGAGAACTACGTTTGAACGTGCCGCACAATGTTGTAACTTATCCCTCTGTTCCAAGTCCATTTTGACCTAGGTAGAAGTTGATTGACAAAATTTTGATGAAATATTCTTTTGTAGCCCTATAAGTTTAGTTTCTAATGTGACAAGAATTAGCTCAATCTGATATCAGGGTAAAAATTTATGGCTAAAATACTAGGGTAGTGTCTAATTTCTTTTTACCCAAAGTCTCTCATACGTGCGTCTAAGTTTTGGAACACTTCCAAACTTCTAATACACTCCATATTACCTATCCTTAATTCATTTTATATTAATGCCGTACATGATAGTCTAATATAATTTAAAATAATTACATGGGGGCTGACATGCCCATAGGTAATCTATTGGTTGGTAGGCTCTACTATAGCATAATGTCTTGTTTTGACGACATGGTTTGTTGAAGAAAGTTTTGAATGTCTACCAATTGTGTGTGATGGAATACTCAACATGTGCACATGTGCATGCACAGTGGGTGGAAACTCTCACACAATTCAATTGCCTATATGATTTTGAAAATCTCAAGTGGAAGCATCAATTTTCTCAAACTTGTGTCAATTTTTGGTACCTTCTAGAGAATATATATTATTCATGTGGTCAGTTTCAATGTTAAGAAAAATGCTCCTAGTCGCTCTTAATGAGCCTGAGGTGAGGCAAGGCGAGGAGCCCGGGGTGCAAGCGACTCGAACTCCCCCCACCCCAGGTGTTACATTTTGGGCAGTTGATATATTGACTTTGATTGAAATACTTAATATCCATAACACCAGGTTAGGACTCTAATTACTAATATCAGATACTAGTCTAAACTTTACCCACAGATCCAGTCTGATCTAACTCCAAAATATATATACTTTAGACCATTGATCGCCTTTTCTTTTTCATCTACATCATCTTCTCTCTGTGTTTCTCTCTGCTTCACTTTTCGCATCCCAATTGTACTTTTTTTTAAAAAAACTAGCCCTAATTTACTGAAATCAACCTCTTTTGGTAAAAATAAACCACCGTTTTTTGTCCAGTTAGCCTTTAATACTATGGAATTAGGTTCTGTTCTAACTTCTAAGAAATATACTCTATCTGGCTTTGTTCTCATTTCCCTTTCTCTTCTATTTCTCTCATTCCTAATACTATTTTAGGATATATTTACAGCTTGTTAATGAAATATGATATTGAGATTGATGAAGGATGCCAGTAATTTTTCAATTAGCTATAATCTGCTATATGTTATTGATGCTTAATGTAATTTGCTAAAATTTAATGCTGAAAGTTGATTACTTTTGCTAGGAATCTCATTGTACTTTGTTCTATGCTGCTGAAATCAGTTAAAATGAGTTATTTCTACTGTGTTTGCCTGGAATTAGCCTTTTTTTGGGTATGATATCATTGATATATTCTGCTGATATGAGCTCTTATTTGTATTTGCCTACAATTTTCTAAAATTTGTTGCGTTCAATTTTAGGGTATAATCTGTAACATTCACATATTGTGTACACATGAGTGGATTCGATAAAACCACGCTTTGTCTCATAGCTCACTCCTCATGTCTATGCCCCAGGAGACTTTGGCACCTTGGTGTGCTTTTCTCCTTAAATAACACTGGTCGTCACATTATCACCTGATAACTTCACTATATCAGGGATGTTATTTGTAAACTAGGAAATTTGGCGATGGAAACCTTGTGAGAGGTGGGGAACGATTAATGTACATATCATGGTCATCATAGATTGCGGGTCCTGCTCCATAGNTGTCACATTATCACCTGATAACTTCACTATATCAGGGATGTTATTTGTAAACTAGGAAATTTGGCGATGGAAACCTTGTGAGAGGGGGGGAACGATTAATGTACATATCATGGTCATCATAGATTGCGGGTCCTGCTCCATAGAATCACATGTAGGGGGCATGTGTTTTTAGATATTACTAGGATGATAGGTTTCGTTCATGGTTCTCATTTTCTGTGCTTTTATCATTGTGTACTTCATAATTTAATCAGTCTGAAAGTTAGTGCATCCCAGCAATTACTGTATCAAGTGGCTATCTATTTTTCTCTTCTTTTCTCATATTGCTTGTCTACTTGTATCAAAGTTTTGCTGGAGTTTGATTTGTTCATATCTCATATTTAGGTAGAAGAAAAACTTGAGTCTGGACAAGGCAAAACAACAGTCCGCCGTTTCTTGTCTAGATTTTGTACACCAATATTTTTGGAGGTATGTCTTGTGTTTTGGTACTTAAAATTAGGTTATGTAGTTTGTAATATTCTGAATTAATTCTGATAACACTTTTTACAGCTATCATGCTTACGCTCGAAAGCGCTTGAATTGCATTACAAATAGAGTTCTTATGAATCAAACTTCCCTGTTTGTTTTGTTTCTTTGTGGTTGTACTTGTTGCAGTCATTCATTTTAACCTTTCTAGCAGAGTGGGGTGATCGTAGTCAGATAGCTACAATTGCTGTAAGATATTTTCTTTCCTCTGAATCTTCTTTGGCTTGTATATTCTCATTTATTGAAAACTAGTGTGATTGTTGCTATATGTGAATTTTTTTTTTAATGCATAGCTGTCCAACTTTCATGCTTTATTGTTATATTGAAACTGAGATTGCTAATATTTAATGTGCATTAGGAAAAAAAATTATTGGGGCCTCTAGGAAAGGAAAGTCTCCAAATATAAAGTGGTTATTACTTATTAATTATTGCTATTCTTGTTTGAATTTTTTCTATTTGTAGGAGATGTTTATGTGATTTAGAGCCGATTTAATTCGTTTTGTTTCTGTCCAGTTATGCATCTAAATTCATTAGCAAGAAAATGTTTGTGCATGCTACTCGTTAAGAAGAGATCCCTTTTTTGATTCTTCAGCTCGCCACGCACAAAAATGCTCTTGGAGTTGCAGTAGGGGCTATTCTAGGACACACGATATGTACGTCCCTGGCTGTGGTTGGAGGAAGCATGCTAGCATCTAAGATCTCGCAAGGAACAGTTGCAACAATTGGGGGCCTTCTTTTCCTCGGTTTTTCCTTATCGTCATATTTCTATCCTCCCCTATAACTACATAGGTGTAGGCTAAACCTATTTCTTTAAGAGGGGTTACCCACGCCCCTTAAAATTTCTTCATTTCTTTTTATGTTCACTAAGAAGATTTGACTGTTTCAACACCAGGTTTTTCAGCTTATTCTTTTGGAAACATGCTATCATATGAAAATATGTTAATGTTTAATATCAATATGACCATGTTTGATGGAGTCGTGTGCTTGTGGAAGTGAAAACAGTATCAAGTAGCTTGTAATTATCATCTACAGTGCTTCAAGTTTAGATAGGTTGCCCTGCTTGAAGATTATTATTATTATTATTATTATTTTTGTTTTCTCTATTCTCTATTCAAGGCGCTTATCCAGCTTTGAGGATATAACTGCTCCCTGAGAGAAGAAAACATGTCAGGTAAAGGGAAAAAAATGAAAAAATATTTTGGAAGTTCGACTTTATTCTCCCAAAGACAAGTTCTCACATTGGATTTTGATTTTTTCAGAACAGAAGCAATGGGCTCCAATTATGTAGTGGTGGTATCTCAGATTTTCAGTTGAGACTTCACGTGTGATTGGAGACAATTATTTTTTATGGGTTGAAGTTTAACTTTTAAATCTTTGGAGGGGCTAGGCGATATTAAAATTTTATTGCTTTTTGAAATATCATGACCGTAGATTTAAGTTGAGATTTATTACAATACTTTACGAATTTATTCAATTACAATCAATTGCATAACATGAACTACATACACGATTCCAAAACAAAAATATTTAGTTGTTACAACTCCCTAAATGCAAAAGAAAACTACGTCACTGTATGATGCAAGTTGACCTAGCTTTGATCGCATACTATGTTACTACCTGTCTTGATGGCGTCGCATATATGTATCCTAACAATATGAGATTATAGTCGTCTTATAATAAAGTACACAATACATATGCACGTCTTTCAAATGACCATGATATTTGTTGGTGAACGTAAATAGTGTCTTATCCATAAATATAGTGAACGTAAATAAGTGTTTAATATATGGACCTAAAGGCCAAAATTTCACATTCTTTGACCTCGATTGTCAATTTCGTGCAGTGAATTGGTATATTTAGCCAAGCTTTCTGATGGATAATATGGGTGTTGTGTGTCACAAGCTAGTTCCGTTCCAAAAAAGGCTTGCAAAATTTGGGTTTTTGCTCACGTAACTCTTCGCGTGGGGCTCAACAGCCCCGTCATGTAAAATAGCAATAAGCTTTCCCCACCTAAATCCTAAAGTGTTAGGAAATAGATGTGTTGACAAAATGCCGTGAGTCACAATATAGTGCATCTCAACTAAATCCGAAAGTTATGATGCATATCAAATTGAATACCAAAATCAGATGAGAAGAAGAGATTCAAGCATAGTTGCTACATTCAAAGATCTAGGTAAGAGACCTTAAATACCTTAGTGTGCCTAGGATGGTTTAGACTTAGGTTTAGAATTGGGTTTAGAATGCTTTGATTAAATCCTTACCAAGACTCTTGTATTGTTCTTTGAAAAATGATTTTAGGACTGGAAAAGAAGTTTTTGAAAAACTATACGAGTCATGGTATGGAGCCTTGATGGGTAAACACCCCTTGGTACTCAAAATGTGAAATGTGAAATTGGTTTTATTCGAAAAAACCAAGGCGTAACGCTCTCTTAGCGCTCGAGTGGTTCTTGAGATTGGAGGGAGATAAAATCTCAACTCAAGACCGCCGCTCACTCTGTGCTTGACTTAGTCTCTCAATTATTTAGATTGTAGACAAACATCTCATTTTTCAATTTTTTTGCCGTCAATCCTAGAAAGAATGTTAGCTCACTATCATGCTCATTTGAAATTGAAATTTCATCAATATACTAAAATCATGAGTAAGTGAATTAGAAGTAGAACAAAACATAATATCATCCACATACACTTGGGCTATCACAAGCTTACCTTCAACATTTTTAACAAACGAAGTTTTGTCTACACTATCCTTGGGAAGCCCTTATTTCAAGAGATAAGTGGACAATATCTCATACTAAGCCCTTGGGTGAATTAAGATATACACCGTCTTTTAGATAACCTTTCCAAACCATGCTGCACAATGGATGATGTGGGTCCTCAAATCATTTGGGTTATTCTACATAGACTGCTTGCAAATATTCATTTAGAAATGCACTATTCACATCCATGTGACATAACTTGAAATATCCATTTGATATTACTTGAATTTCATATGGCATGCTATTGCAAAGAGTAGTCTCACATATTCATGCTTAGCCATAAGTGCAAAGGTTTTATCAAAGTCAATGCCTTTGACTTGTGTATATCCCTGTGCTACAAGTCTAGCTTTATTCCTGACAACTATCCCATATTCATTAGATTTATTCTTGAAAAGCCACTTTGTGCCTGTGACATTTATGTTCTTAGGTCTAGTTCTTAGATCTCAAACCTCAATTTGTGTGATATGGTATAGCTCTTCTTGCATTGAAACTAACAAATTTTCATTCTCAGAGCTTCACTCAGATTCTTGGGATTAAAAGAAGAGGGATAACAGTGATATACTATCTCATTCTCAACTTATCTCCTAGTTCTTACTCATTTATCAGGATCTGCTATGGTATCACTACGTGAGTGCCTTGCTTGAACCCTAGAAGGTGTAGATTTGGTGAGAAGAGTGTCATTCTTGTGAGTTGGTGGACTATGGTTCTAGTTCAACTTCATTTCCCAAGGGACNTTTGACCTCGATTGTCAATTTCGTGCAGTGAATTGGTATATTTAGCCAAGCTTTCTGATGGATAATATGGGTGTTGTGTGTCACAAGCTAGTTCCGTTCCAAAAAAGGCTTGCAAAATTTGGGTTTTTGCTCACGTAACTCTTCGCGTGGGGCTCAACAGCCCCGTCATGTAAAATAGCAATAAGCTTTCCCCACCTAAATCCTAAAGTGTTAGGAAATAGATGTGTTGACAAAATGCCGTGAGTCACAATATAGTGCATCTCAACTAAATCCGAAAGTTATGATGCATATCAAATTGAATACCAAAATCAGATGAGAAGAAGAGATTCAAGCATAGTTGCTACATTCAAAGATCTAGGTAAGAGACCTTAAATACCTTAGTGTGCCTANAAAAGTTATGATGCATATCAAATTGAATACCAAAATCAGATGAGAAGAAGAGATTCAAACATAGTTGCTACATTCAAAGATCTAGGTAAGAGACCTTAAATACCTTAGTGTGCCTAGGATGGTTTAGACTTAGGTTTAGAATTGGGTTTAGAATGCTTTGATTAAATAGTTACCAAGACTCTTGTATTGTTCTTTGAAAAATGATTTTAGGACTGGAAAAGAAGTTTTTGAAAAACTATACGAGTCATGGTATGGAGCCTTGATGGGTAAACACCCCTTGGTACTCAAAATGTGAAATGTGAAATTGGTTTTATTCGAAAAAACCAAGGCGTAACGCTCTCTTAGCGCTCGAGTGGTTCTTGAGATTGGAGGGAGATAAAATCTCAACTCAAGACCGCCGCTCACTCTGTGCTTGACTTAGTCTCTCAATTATTTAGATTGTAGACAAACATCTCATTTTTCAATTTTTTTGCCGTCAATCCTAGAAAGAATGTTAGCTCACTATCATGCTCATTTGAAATTGAAATTTCATCAATATACTAAAATCATGAGTAAGTGAATTAGAAGTAGAACAAAACATAATATCATCCACATACACTTGGGCTATCACAAGCTTACCTTCAACATTTTTAACAAACGAAGTTTTGTCTACACTATCCTTGGGAAGCCCTTATTTCAAGAGATAAGTGGACAATATCTCATACTAAGCCCTTGGGTGAATTAAGATATACACCGTCTTTTAGATAACCTTTCCAAACCATGCTGCACAATGGATGATGTGGGTCCTCAAATCATTTGGGCTATTCTACATAGACTTCTTGCAAAAATTCATTTAGAAATGCACTATTCACATCCATGTGACATAACTTGAAATATCCATTTGATATTTACTTGAATTTCATATGGCATGCTATTGCAAAGAGTAGTCTCACATATTCATGCTTAGCCATAAGTGCAAAGGTTTTATCAAAGTCAATGCCTTTGACTTGTGTATATCCCTGTGCTACAAGTCTAGCTTTATTCCTGACAACTATCCCATATTCATTAGATTTATTCTTGAAAAGCCACTTTGTGCCTGTGACATTTATGTTCTTAGGTCTAGTTCTTAGATCTCAAACCTCAATTTGTGTGATATGGTATAGCTCTTCTTGCATTGAAACTAACAAATTTTCATTCTCAGAGCTTCACTCAGATTCTTGGGATTAAAAGAAGAGGGATAACAGTGATATACTATCTCATTCTCAACTTATCTCCTAGTTCTTACTCATTTATCAGGATCTGCTATGATATCACTACGTGAGTGCCTTGCTTGAACCCTAGAAGGTGTAGATTTGGTGAGAAGAGTGTCATTCTTGTGAGTTGGTGGACTATGGTTCTAGTTCAACTTCATTTCCCAAGGGACTCTATCACAACCATCATTCTCTATATACATAGGGCATAGTCATGAGTCATTAATGACTACATTAATGGATTCACTAATAGTAGATATCCTAAGATTGAACAGTTAATATGCTCTACTATTAGTGGAAGATCCAAGAAATATTCTTCATCACTTCGAGAGTCAACTTTCCAAGGTTTTCTTTATCTCTCAAATATAGCACTTATTCCTTGAAATTTAGAAATACTTTGCTTTAGGTTTTTTGCCATTCCAAATCTTATATAGAGTTTGGCAAGTCTTGGGTCTTAGGTAGACTCTATTGACAATATAATATGCAATGTTCGCAACCTCAGCCCGAAACCTTTTTGACAAACCCTTACTATGTATCATGACACATGTCATTTATTATAAGAATTTATTTTTCTTTTCTGTGCCATTGTGTTGAGGTGTTTTGGATGCAGAAAATTCATTTTTGATGTTATGTTCATCACAAAACTCACAAAAATCAGAATTATTAAATCCT